TATAAAATATTTAAAGACAAATATTGAAATTAAAGTCAAAGCTAATATCAATTACCTACTGGAGATATAGTCTTCAACGTCCACAGATATTGTATTTGTAGTTTTTTAGTTGATAATTTAATTAAGATAAAATATGCAGTGAAATTTTGAAAGTTTATAGATTTTTTTCTAGTTTCTGCTTTATAAACCTCGTCGGTTTCGTCATTTTGAACTGCAGACTTTTCGAATGCGGGGCAAGGTTGATTGCCATTCTATTTTGGTTTACGACACTTGTACATTGATTGTAGCTAATTTATGAGGGCATTTTGGCATGAGGGCATTTGTATGAAGATACAAGGTCTGCAGCTTTTGCTTTTCGGCTTTTAAATTTATGCAAATTGCATTAACAAGAATTCTATATGCGTCAGCTGTTCTCTCTGCCGTAGTTATTTAAGTACATTTCAGACTCGACTAAGAAATAAATTCTTTTCAATTTGCTTTAATTATTTAAGTTCTTTTCCTTCTTACTTTTTTTAGTTTTGGTCTGTTTGTCAAATAAAACAATAAATAATTACATCAATATTTGAGCTTTAAGTACATTTACAACTACTAATCAAATCATTGAATTAAACCTATAATTAAGTCTATACTTAAGTATATTAGCACAAGTGAAATAAATAATAACATAGTAACAAGAAACAATTATTTTTGTATTCTTCTTTATGCACTACATAGGTATATGTATATGTTTTTAAACAAAGCTGAAACTATTTCGCTTAAGCATTAACACTAAGCTAGTCTAGAAGTGACATTCTATACCTAAACTAAACGTGCTCACTATTGCTATAAACCAAAACTGCTTGAGGTATAAGTTATAGGGTGTTCAAACTGAAAAATATGCCAATACTCTTAAAGATAACAGAAGACTGATGTTTTTAGTTTTAATGATACCCAATCTTCCATTTTTTATTTTGCGAAGTTTTACCAAAATATAACAATGCTATGTTTCTCTAGCGATATTGGAAGCTTCTTGATATTGGAAGTTACTGTAGTAAACAGAGAGATATAGAGATTGAAACGTGATCTACAGAAGTGCCGTAATAAGGAATAATACCCTAATAATCGCTTGTTTATTTTCTATATCAATTTTAATATACAAATAGGTGTGGATTATGCAAATTGGGTATACGACTTAACCTACCTTGACCTTTAACTCAAAGAGTCTATAGAATAAAATGCACTTTTCATAAGAAATAAAACCGTTGCAACTTTTGGAATTAAATATTTTTAAAAAATCGTTAGTATATCTTAAAAATAGTTTCGCATTTTTTAATACACGATTTCCTGAACTATAAATCAAATAACAACCATTATTTTATTTAAAGTGACGTTTAAAGGGTATTTTTAAGAAGAACTAATTTTTGTAATTATTTATCGTCTGCAACTTATTCAAAGGCTCACTTTGGTCTTCACTTATATGGGGACTTGCGAGATTTCTTCGGGATCAGAACCACAAAAATAAATTTATTGTAAAAATTTAGCTTTCGTTTAGTTTTTTGGTAAGCATTCTCTATTTCTCTATTAAAAATGCAGAATTAAGTTAATGGAAGTTATGTTTTCTTTAAAGGATTTTTGCTGAAAATGAATGAACTAATATATGAGGAATAAATATTGAATTGGTATAATAATTTAATGTAATATTATTAAATTATAAGTATAATTTTAGTTATCATTATAGAATATTTGCAAATTTTAAGATTATGTTTGATAATTGCTATATAGATAAGACTGATATTGCAGCCTCTAAACAATCATTGAAGATCTATTCTAATATAATGTGTGGTAGTAGTTATAATTACTACCTACTAATTATAATTTGCATAATACATTTATAATTATGACAGTTAAAACATATAAGCCAACAAGGTAAATCATTTTATAAAACAGCCTGTGTAAGCATTGATACCTATTTTTTACTGATATATTATCTATCTACATATTATCTATATACAATCTACGTATATCATAACATAATCTGTTATCAGATATTTATACACTGAAATAGATAGCTTAATTGATTGAATATTTAATATTTAGCAATTACTTTGAAGTAGCAGTGTTCGATATTAAATGCTTCAGATAAAAATTTATTATAAATGGTTATATATGTAATATATATAAATCTAACCCGTAATACATATATTTAAAAATCGATTTTTTTAACGTAGGTTTACATACACTTATAGTGAATATTTTGCTATTATTTTCTCACTTACGGTGTTATCATTGCAGCGATAACAGTTGCATTCAAAATGTTTTGTCATTCTTAGAAAAATATTACGAGTCAAATTACTCCATAGGATTTTTGTATATGTCGTGGTGATTTCAGTTCCCTTGGGTATGAAACGTGCCGCTCTCACCGTTGCCACTTGTCCATTGTCAAAATAATGGCTCGCATTTGGGGTGCACTCATGGTTCATAACTGCAGTTAACGGAAATAAGCCACGTACTAAAATTTCATGCGGTCCTACCCTACATGGTGCTTCAAACGAATTTGTATTTAAAACACCCACAACACGAAATAAATTATCCATAAATTTTTTGTCCGTTGTCGGAAATTTACGGAACGATTGCGCAGCCTTAATTATTTCCTGTCTATACCCACGATCAGGGTTCGCTTGCATAGCATTAATCAAGGCGCGCTGCTCGCTGTTTAGATAAAACACTCGTATTGCCGTTAAAATACGCAAGGACATGGGATTGCAAATGCTGCCCTCTTCGGCTGTATATTCTTTTGGCTGCCAGCGATTGAATAATTCACATTCATTGCGATGTGCATCCGAATCCGCGCAACTATCACAAACAGGCAGAGTACACTTATTTTTGCACAAAAACTCCTTTACGGCCAACAATTTATGACAACAAATACAAGTATTAAGTATGGAACCCTTTCTTGCCGTAGGGCCAATAACTAGAGCGCGTTCCCGAAATAGTACTTCCCCGGCGGCTATGTCACGGCTCGCGAAAACACCGCGTCCCGCAACAGGCGATTCGGCAATTGTCCAATTAGTCGTTTCATCTTGCAATTCGCCCAAGTGCAACTTCACAAGTCGCTGCAACTCCGCGGGTGCAGCCATTTCGACTAAAAGTAGACGTGCTACCGGATATGAATGCGTTTGCACTGTTTTACATAAAATTTTATTTATTCTCGACTGGTTCCGTTTTTTAGCTTTGAAACGTCCACATTATGCGATTTTCAGCAAACGACTATCCGCGTAGCTCATTAACAATAACTTTTGGGCCTTTTTTGTAATTTCAATTGCTCGGCTGCGCTAAGAAAGCAAAACAACAACGAGCCAAAAACAAAAACAAAAACAAAAAGAAAAAAAAAATCTACCAGATACAAAAAAGCAACTGAAAAAGATTTGAAAAAGTCGCGTAAATATGAAAACATGAAAATGTTGTTTCCAATATGCGCTGCCACCGTCACTGCTGCCCAACTGTGCCGTGCCGCCGCTATGCTGAAATGGTGAAATGCTGAAATCGTCATCATTTCAATTTTCCGCACAAACTGTTTTTGGTTCTTGTCTTGACTCGTCGCCACACTCATTCGAACAGCGCGCCAGCCCCGTTCTGCTCGATTTTTAATCGGATTTTCGTCGTTCATGTGTTAGCGTCTGGCATATGACAATTTCGATGACGAAGCCGCAGTGTCAATCGCTGAGGGACTGAATGGCAATTCTGGTTTTGGTGATTGGTTCGGTTCGGTTTGGATTATTCGATGTTTGCTGTGTTGATGTTGATTTCTAAATGAGACAAATCTAATTTGTTGTTCTTCTGCGAGCCTCTGCGAGCCTCTGTGAGCCTCTGGGAAACTCAGATGATTCGTCTGCAGATGCACTTGTCGCATATTTTTAAGGTTTTTGACGTATCGAAAAATGAAATTTTTATGTATCTGCGTGTGCGGCAGATACATGGCCTGGCCTGTCCTGTCCTGGCCTTGCAATGTTGGGTACTCGATGTAAAATATTATAAATTTGTATGGTTTTCATACAAATTGCTCGTATGAGTTGAAGGCATTTTTAAAATAAATAAATTATTTTTATTGCAATTTCTGCTTTGTACTGCTGAGATTTAGAACAAATTTTCTGAATTATTTGCTTTTGCCTCTATCAATGCGGCTTTTTAAATATATATTTTCTTTATGTGCATTTTTATGTTATTTTCTTTTTGTTTATTTATTATTTTTATTTTGAAAAATTTAGTAAATTCTTTGTAAATGGAAATATTTGATATTTTGCCTATGAACATATTACATATTTATTGCTTAGAATTTATGATACAATAAATTTCTTTACATCTCTACACCAACATCAACATCAACAGTCAATAACATCACTATTTCAGTACAAATTCTCACCTTTTTACAATCAAATACAATTTCTAAATAGAACAGTATTATATTATATTGATATATTAACTGTCGTCTAGTCGTCTTGGTTGCCCATACGAGGCTATGATGTTAACTGTATTTACATATTGCTGCAACCTCAGTTTGTGACTTGTTGCTTTCTTTTTTATTTCCTCAGCGACTGTGGACAATTTTAGATCCTGGTGTAAGTCGCTGTTCCTAACATACCATGGCGCTTTTAAAATGTTCCGTAGAACCTTGTTCTGGAAATGTTGAATTATTTCGACGTTACTTTGGCTAGCACTACAATGAAATGAACTATATATACAGTAATAGACACTGAAGATATCACTCACATTCAATTTGATAATCTTAGAATTCTAATTTGCATGGACTAAAGTTCCATTAGTGATTTGATTAGAATGAAATAAACTTTTAGTAAATACAGTAGTATGACTAAGGTATATTTTCTATGTTGCTATCTGAACAGAAGACCCCCAGTTCATCTCAAAATAAAATGGGAATAGGAACACCAGGCCTAGGGATGGTGATAAATAATATGAATAGAACATTCATTTGCTTCTAAGCAGAGCTGACATTCTTTTTCAGACATACAAATGAGAAGAGACGTAGAGAGAGTTAAACATGGTTGCGACGACACACTAGTAGTTTAACAGAATTTTTCACAAAACAAATTTTAATAGTTGGATTACTTTATAATATATATTAATCATTAATTTATTGCATTTGCTTAAAAAAATAAGATGTCATATTTTATCAGATAAAAATGCAACAATTTAGTAACAGATTTCACACAATCATATATATTGTGAGTTATATCTATATAATTTTGTTAGTGATCCTAGAGACCCACTTAATTTTTTCGACATTTTTAAGCAAGTTTGTCTGACTAGATTTTTAGTTTTGCAATTAAGAGCGTTAAGACTGCGATCGAGAATCAGCTACATTGCATATAGCAACCAAAATTTGTGATGAAAGTTGGATTAATCTCATAGACTTTAAAGCAGGTTAAGTATTGAAGCAGTATTAAGTATTATTGTAAAAGCTAAAATGTAACTTATTGAGGTTAACTTAAATGTATTAACCACTTCATGGCAAGCTATAGCTTTATAACATGGCAACAACTATTACTGGAAACATAATACTGCTGTCAAACAGTTTTTTCTATAATTATGCCTTCAGTTCCTCAGGAAATCTTTTTAAAGCCGTAAGTTGATTTGTTGGAAGTTTTTCTTTTGATAACCCTCCCGAAGACATATCTTACTGTTGAAAATAAATTTTCTGTCGAAGTCGAGAAAAATATATATATGTAAAAAACATTTTCTGGTGAGGAACTTTCAATAATATCATGATCATAATTATAAACTTTGAATATTAAAGTAAACGGAACTCTTAAGTACCAGGGTTGCTACTTATAGATCCTTGTATGTGGCTTTAAGTGACGCATTAAGTCCACATTATTAAGTGAAGTATTCATTAGCATACCTGTACCGTGTAGAAATTAGAAAATAATTATGCATGGAATGTGTATTACTTTTAAAGTATTAAAAAAGTTTTATGTAGAAAAAGGAAAAATAATTAGCTTAATTATACATTTATTTTGAATTTCAAATTTAAACTATTTTAGAAATTTCAGAATAAGTACTTTATATTAGCTTTACTGCAATGTCAACAAAACTATTAAATGATTTATTTACAAGAAATTTTTAAAAACTTATGAATGACGCAAATAAACTACAAAATATACTAACTGTTAAGAATATGCATTCATTCATTTGTCTAATAATTTGTAAACACATACTCGTACTTCCCTTACTTCTCTCTCAACACCTATTTTTGAATATTCGCAGATTTATTTTTATTATAATTCTTGTAGTCAAGATACATAAAAGAATTTTGGCGCACGTGAAAAACACTTTCATCTCGGATTTTCTATTTTTATATAGTAACGCTACTATAAGTTGACGCCCCGAACACATGCAAAACTTGGCACGCGACTGTCCGAGTTACCTAAATGTAATGAGTTTGATATTGTCTTGAAAAGATCACGTGAAACTTTTACTTTGGGACTATACTGTAATATGAGATATGATGATGGTAGATAGGTTTACTGGTCAGCACACTATTTGGACTCCAATATGCAGAAGATAAGTAGGATGTCTTAATAAATTATTAACTCCTGATAAATCAATATGTTGCTGCCACAAATTATTAGAACCACATTGACAGTATATGAGGTATCTTCCACCTGATAATAATGTATTAAAGTATTTTATTCTTCTGTGCTGAACAAGAACACAGTAGCTATTTGTTGCTGATCGTGGTTCCCTTAGAGACCCGCAACTGCAAAAGATTAAGACAAGTATAAAAATGCTAAAATGTATATAACTATTCCTTTCTAAACTTCTATTCAATTTTGAAAAATCCCAGTGAATTAGCTTTTAGTTTAACGATAATGATTTATTTAATACTCGTTTCAAATTTCATATTTTATGTATTCCACAAAAATAAGATGACAGCTAAGTAATGCTATTAATATCTTTACACCCAAGTTGTCAGAATGATAAAAACTCCAGTTTCAGAAACATACTGTCTGGTTCTAGTTTTACTTATTTATTTAAAAATTAATCGCTTTTGTCGTCATCTAAAAATATAATCCTCTTGCTATATACTTGATGTGTCAAAATATATTTTGTGTTACAAGTCAAAGCACAAGCTACTACCATAAACATTGAGTTGAGTTCTAGTGAAACTAATTTTCTCCAATACAATTTCATCAGAGTTATTATCATCATTCGTGACTATATAGTCCATATAGGACCTAAGCTCATTTAACAACAGTCTTCCATTTTTCTCTGTTTTTGCTTTTGTTTTCCAATTTTTTATGTTCATTTCTTCCAAGTCCTGCTGCACACTGTCTTTCCATTGCTTTCTTCTTCTGCTGGTTCCTATGTTCTCATATCCGGCATTCGTATCACATGTCCAACTCATCTTGATCGCTGCTTTTTCTTAAATTTGTTGATTGTATTATCTTCAGTTAGACGTTATATCTCGTAGTTGTTTCTTATGCGATGCATCCCGTTTTCTTTCACGGGGTCAAAAATTTTTCTGAGTATTTTCATTTCACAGATATAGTAAATCTATATCTCATATATCAATAACTAATTCAACTAAATGTCAAGAATAACATTTTTACACATCATAAAAATGTATTTCATTGTTTTTAAAAACCAAAATTATATCATGCTACAAAAGCTGAGAGAACTTCTCTAGCATGCTATATAAAAGGAACTATGGTGCTTACCAAAAGCACAGCTTTTATTGCTTAAAAAAGCATCAAACATGTTTGATAAAAAAGCATAAAAAAGCTTGCGTAGGCACGCGTTCAAAAAGCGTGAAAGCCATTTTTTTATTTATGAAACAACAGACCCACTGCCATTGTCTTCAATGAGTTGTGAATGAAAAGCAGCAAATGATATGAATAAATTAGACAAAAGCCTTCTAGTGAAAAAAAAAAATTTATGTACTAGACGTGAACAAGCATTTTGAGAATTTATTTTTCACTTATGGCAAAACTTAATTGCCTGCTAAATTTTATGCCTTGCACGATTAACAAACTGAAATTCTGTTGCTGCACACACTTCACAGTACTTGAAAAGTTTTTATAAAAAATAATAAAATGCTAACATTATAATTATTCGAATCTATTAGCTTCATTTCGATACTCACCGTGGGATCTTGACATCTCCTGCAGTGACACGTAAAATGCTTAGTCAAACCTAAAAATAGTTTACGCGCCAAATTGCTCCATAAAACTTTGGTGTATGATGTTGTGATTTCTTCCCCTTTAGCTATTGCAC